ACACCGCTCCCACCCACACCTCACCCGCCCCATAGTCAACTTTGCGCCACATCCTGCCTCTCGGAGCTCCAAGAGTTACTCCCAAAAGGAAGCCTGCCCTCAGCTCCCCAATCTAGCAGTGCCGACCCTTCTCTCAACATGGGGGTCCTCTGCCCCTGTGAGGTTGAGAGAAGCTGAGATTCCCCCCCCCACAAAACAGTTCAGATAGAATCCACAGGCCATAAAATGCACTCATTTAAAATGTACAATTCAGTGGCTTTCGGTACACTCACAGTGTTGTGCAACCATCGCTACGCTCCAATTCCAACACGTTCCCATCATCCCGAACAGAAAGCACACCAAACTGCAGCAGCCACCCCGGGCCCCAACCTTTCATCCCTTTTGTGGTTTTTGCCCTGTTGCCAAGGAATTGATTTCGACTCACGGTGTTGGAGTATATCTACGCTCCACAGAGGATGTGTGTGTGTGTGTGGTGAAAATATCCGTAGAATTTTCCATGACTGAGTTTTTGGAAGTAGATCACCAAGTCTTTCTTCCGGGTGTACTGGCATCTCCACTCATTGGTACCAGAGATTCCCCGCTACTCCTCAAAAACACACAGAAAACGCAAACCTGCTGCTGTTGAGTTGATCCCAACTCACAATGACCCCATGAGCTAAAGTGGAACTGTCACACGGGGCTTCCTAAGCTGTCAGCTTCACGTGAGCAGACTGCCACATCTTTCTCCTGCAGCTATTAGAGGGTTCCAACTGCTGACCTTTCAGTTAGCAGCTGAGTGCTTAACCACTGTGCCACCAGGGCACCTCCTCTCATCCCTAACCATCATCAAGGCTATTCAAACTCATAATGACCCTACAGGGCAGTGCAGAACTGCCCCAGAGGATTTCTAAGATTATACATTTTTATGTCTCATCTTTCTTCCCAAGGAGCAGCTGGTAGGTTCAAACCACTGGTCTGTGGCTAGCAGGCCAGTACTTACCCTACAGCGCCACACCAGGAGCCCAACCCCTAGGCAACCACTCTTCTGGATCTTTGATATTAATGGACTCACATGCTGCATGGAGTCCCGGTGTGGTGCTGTGGGCCAATGCGCCAGACTGCAAAGCCGTTTGAACTGCAAGGTCGGTGGTTCAAGCTCACCAGCTGCTCCTTGAAAACCCTATACAGGTCGCTATGGGTCAGAACCGACTCGACAGCATTTCACAACACCAACAAAATAACAACATGCTGCATGGCGTCACACAGCTGCACATTTCCAAGGCTCATACATGTTGCGGCAAGTACCTGAATGGTCTTCCGTTTCTGCACTAAGCAATAAATCCATTGTATGGATGGACCACATCCTCATTAGCCGAGAACTCTACTGGTGGACATTTGGGTTGTTTCCTCACGGGGCTACTGTGAATAGTTGTGCTGTGACAGTTTAAGTTTGTGTAGAGACAGCTGTGATATGTAGGCTGCTCCTAGGGGTTGTCAGTTTCCTGAGTGCAGAGGAGTCAGCTTCTTCCGAGCCCCTCATGAAAGCAGACATACAGCTGGCCATTCAGGTTCCCAGGGAAAGGAAGGGATCCATCCCTGGGGAGAGCCAACATTTCAGTGCTGAGCTGGTCACTGAAAGGCAGGAGGTTTAGGTCCACCTAGATGACCCTTGAAAGAAAAGCCTGCCATTCTACTTCAGAAAAATCAGCCATTGAAAACCCTGTGGAGCTGTTTTGCTCTGACACGTGAGGTCACCGTGAGTTGGAACGGACTTGATGACAACTGGTTGTTTTTTGTGGTTTGGAGAAAAGGAAGAGTAAGAGGAAGCCTGAATCTCCAGCCCTACTTCCTTTGGTTAAATCACCTTCACTGTCCCCAGACCCACATCTGCCCTTCTCCTCTGTGTTCCCACCTCAGCCCTGCCCAGGACACTGCCTGGTTCCTCTTCGCTTCCACACCGCCTGTGCCAGTCCCCATTCCCGCCATCGCCCCATGTGACCCCTTTGCAAACCCTGTTGGCTTTTTCTTCAAAACTTACCCCAATTCCAACCCTACTCGCCATTCCCTCCTCACCCCAGTTCACACCACATCCACCTCCTGCCTGGCTGTCTCCTGACTGGCCTCCCAGCATCCATCCCTACCTCTCTTCTCAGCCACCAGACGGATGATTTTAAAAACTTCAATCAGATCCCATCTCTGTGATCCCACCCTTCCTGAAGCTCTCATTCCACTCAGAGAAAAGCCAGAGTCCTCACCGTTAAACACCTGCAGCTGTCGAGTTAGTTCTGACTCACAATGACCCAATTTGACACAGAACTGCCCCCACAGGGTGCCTAAGGCTGCCATCTTTCTGGAAGCAGACTGCCACACCTTCCTCTGGGGGACTGGTTGGTGGGTTCGAATTGCCCACCTCTCAGTTCGAGGCTCAGTGCTTAACCACTGGGCCTCCGAGTCCTCACATTGGCCTATAACGCTCCATATGACTCATCTCCATTCCTGCTCCGCCCTCCTCTTCTGCCGGCTCCCCCTCACTCCCTTGGTTCCAGCCATGCACAGCAAGCAAGCATATGCCAACCTCAGGGCCTTTGAATGCACCATCCCCATCTGGAACTCCCTTTTTCTGAAACTCTGACTTGCTCCCTTCTCACTTAGACATCGGTTCAAATGTCACTCCTCATGAGGCCTTCCTGGGTCCCCTTTCTAGATCTCGGTCACTCTCCACCCCTTTCTCTCCTCTTTTTTCAGGGCTGAACTGACCACCACGGCACATTATACCAATGACTGCTTTCTCTGTAGGCTGCTTCTCTCTCTCTCCTGGAACGGAAGGGCCCAGGTCCCAGGGGCAAGGCTGCTTGGTCACTATTGTTGCCCCAGTTCCTAGAACAGTGCCTAGTGTACTGCCCCACTGCCCAGTGAGTCAATTTTGACTCTTAGCGACCTTATAGGACAGGTCAGAACTGCCCCATAATGTTTTTGAGGCTGTAAATCTTTCGGGAAGCTGAAGGCCTCATCTTTAACTGAAAGGTTGGCTATTAGCTTCAAAGCACCAGCCTGCTGAGTAGCAGTTCAACACTTAGAACCTTCTGGAACACTGTAGTGGTCAAAAAGCGTTTGTTAAATGAATGATCCTTAACAGCTGTTTTTAGTGCGATTGCAGACAAGAAAACTGAGCTGTGAAGAGGCTAATTGACTTGGTCACAGCCTCACCTGAGCTGCTAGGATCAGCGGCCGTGCATACAATACTCCGAACAGCTGCGCCGCCCCCCAAGTCTATGACTCATGTTATTGTGCTTAGGGGCTGTCAATACTGATGCAAGGAGATTCCATGTGTGCAGAGTAGAACTGCCCTTCATAGGATTTTCAAGGCTGTGATCTTTTGAAGCAGATGGCCAGGTTTTCCTTCTGAGGCCCTTATAGGTAGATTTGAACTTTTGGTTAGTATAGCAGAGTGTCCCCTTTTCCATGACAACCATATCCTCATTTCTCCAACTGACACTCAGCAATTGTCATGACTCCTCCCTGTTCACTGTGCACCTACTATGTGCCCAAACCAAACCCAATACCATCAGCTTAATTCCAAATCACAGAGATTCTATAAGACAGAGGAGAACTGCTCCAGACGCCGTCTGAGGCTGTAAATCCTTCCAGAAGCAGACGGCCTCGTTTTTCTCCCAAAGAACAGCTAGTGGATTTGAACCTCTTACCTTTGGGTTAGCAGCCCAATATTCAACCCACTGCACCTCCAGGGAATCCTTTACTATGTGCCAGATCCTCCCATACCCATGGAATTCTAAACAATCCATCACTGGACACCAAACAGGATCAGATCTGGCCCAACAAGAAGAATCAACATCCAATCTCAGGGGCAAGGCATACTGTCTCCACTACAACCCCATCAGGAAGATAGGACCAGCAGCCCCACTTGACAGATTAGGAAACTGAGGGGAAGCCCCTTCATCAAGGTCACACTGCTGGGGCGGTGGAGTAAAGTTCAAAAGCAAAACCAGGTCTGGCTGACCCTGAAGCCCGTGATGATGTAGCCTCAGCCTCGGCAGCACCTCTGGCTCCTGGGAGCTAACTGAGCATCAGGCCTTTCTCATGGTTACCACCAGCCCTGCCTAGCAGGGGGACTCACTGACCAGAGATTGCCGGGACCAGATGGGGAAGGGCCAGACTTTGGTCTGTCCTGCTGCCTGACTCCTGACTTCTCTGGGGGGTCTGACCCATACACAATTGTCCAGATCTCTTATTACAAATCCATAAACCCCTCAGGGCCCCTTTCTTTAGCTCTGGGTTCCCAGCTTCCTTTTTTGACAAAACCCTGAAGCCCCACCCCACTCTATAACCTCCACCCTTTGCCTGGCTCCCTAAACCTCCACACCTGCAGCCTCTCTATCTCCTTCATCTCTGTGTCTCCTTACCCCTCAAGTGGCCCCTGGATCCCCCTCCCCACTGTCCTCCATGTTTCCTAACCAATTTCCCATTCTGGAATCTTCTATCCCATTTATAGTGCTCCCCCACCTGTCCTTTTACTCCCTTGGGTCTTCCTGGTACTTCAGGCCCCATCTAGACTCCTAGCCGCTGTATTAGAGTTCCCCTCCAGGCCCTGCCTCATTAGGGTACCAGGGTGTCCCATCCTCAAGTTCCCTCTGGCCTCCCCCTACTCTATTGCTCCACAGGAGGTCCCCTTCCCCACAGCTCCAGCTCCTTCCCTTCTGATATACACTAGGGATTTCTCTAACACCATCGCTTGTTCGGTTCCCTAACCTTTCTATCATGCCCATGGGACACCTTAATAGCCCCATCCCAGGAACCTCACTTGCTTCCTCTCGCTTTGAAGACCCCTCTAGCCAGTCAGTGTCGTCACCTCAAGAGGGACTCTATGACATCCCAAGCCTCTCCATAGCCCCCACCGTCAAGTCCACCCTCGGGGCCTCTCTACCCTCCCAGGTCCCTCTATGACCCCCAAATCCCTTAATTCTACACTGCTCCCCGCCAGGGTCCCCCCGCCGCGCGCTCACAGTTCCGGATGTCGGAGATGAACACCGCGAGCCCCCGCATCCCATCGCCCTTGGACACGGCCGGCATGATGACGGTGGTGTTGTTTCCAGGCCGGGCCGGACCGGGCACAGCGCAGCGGGGGCTGGCAGGCGGAGACCGGGCGGAAAGGACCCCAGGCAGCGCCAAAAAGCCGAGCCGGGCCTGGGGGAGGGCGGGCTGGCAGGCAGGCCGCGGCACCGCCCCTGGTCCCGCCCCTCGTTTCCACTGACCGGAGCTCCCAGATGCCCATTGGCTGATGCTATTGCCACTCAAACTCGGGCCCACCCATACTCCCTCTTTCATTGGTGTACGAGCAGAGGCACGCCACTATGATTGGTCTAATCCCCCGCTATTTCCGTTCGGGAATGGAGAAGGGGGCGTTGCCTTATAGATAGGCGGAGTTCGATTACGCACTGTGAGGACGCCCACTCGGTGTAGCCGAGTCGGACTCTGATTGGATTCGGTCACTCTCCAAGAAGGGTGGGAAGGACGTGCAGAAAGGGAGGGGAGCGGGGATGAGAAGGCGGGACTTGAGTTGATTTAACCCAATAGGAATATAGAACGCCCCCGCAGACGTCGTGGATTTGCGGAGTCTGTCTTACTTCCGCCCTCGATTGGGCGGTTGTGGGGCGGACAGAGGACGATGATTGGTTGAGAACGAAGTGGGAACGTGGGGTGGTGGGGGTTGACTCATCTGGGTTTGGATAGGTGGAGCGACGCCTGCAATTCCCTGCAGCAGAGCAGTGGTTAGGAGGGGCAAGAAGGCGCGAGGAGTTCACTGCGCAAGCGTTTCCCTGATCCCTTTCTTCCGCTCCACCACCCCCACTTTAAATCTTCCAAGAAACCTTCCTTCCATTTTCTCCTCCTCCCTGCTGTAATGTCCAAAATGTCAAGACTTGGTTTGTCAGGAAACTTAGAATCTCACAATTAGTAATTTAATTTAGTTAAGCAGAGGTAAAAATTAAAGACCAGAGAGGTTAGTTGACTTGCCCAAGGTCCCACAGCTCTGCAGTTGCCAAGCAGGAATTTAAACGCTTTTCAATACATAGTGTGTTGTTTTTCAACCATAACGCCTCAGGCAGCCTCCATAAGTTATTGTTAAGTGCCTTTGAAGTTGGTTCTAAATCAGAGGTCCTGTAAAGGGTTTCTGAAAAGCAGTTGGTGGGATTTTGTGGTTAGCAGTTAAGTGCTTATCCTACAGTCCTATAATAGAATCTGGACTCCTTTATGTTGTTGTTAAGTGCTCTTGAGTCAGTTCCGACTCATAACGACCCTATGTAGGGTTTCCGAGGAGTGGCTCGTGGGTTCAAACCTCCAACTTTGAGATCCAGTGTTTTATCCTACAGCGCCATACCAGGACTCTATGTTGTTGCTCTGTCGAGTCGATTCCGACCCAGTTTAGGATTTATAAGGAGCGACTGGTGAGCTTGAACCGCCGACCTTGCAGTTCAAACGGCTTTGCAGTCTAGCGCATCAACCCACAGCGCCACACCAGGATTCCATGTTGTTGTTAAGTGGGTTGTTAAATAGCAACCCAGGGTTTCTGAGGCTGTAAATCTTTATGGGAGCAGAAAGCCTCATCTTTCTTCCCCAGAGCAGCTGGTGGTTTCAAACTGCTGACCTTGCAGTTCGCAGTCCGAGTCATAATCACTACGCTACCAGAGCTCCTTTGTTGTTGTTGTTGTTGTTAAGTGCCGTCGAGTCGGTTCCGACCCATAGCGACCCTGAACAGGGTTTCCAAGGCTGTAAATCTTTACGGGAGCAGAAAGCCTCATCTTTCTCCTGCGGAGCAGCTGGTAGTTTCGAACTGCTGACCTTGCGGTTTACAGCCTGATTCGTAACCACTACGCTACCAGAGCGCCTTAAATTCTGGAATGGAATGAGTAACTCTATGGCATTTCCAAAGGGGAAGCAGAATTAGAGTCCTTGACCCAGAAGAGCTCACTATGATTTCCTGGGGTATGTGATGAGTAGGGGCCACTTCCTGCCACCCCCCCCCCAGTTGGGACCCAGTGGTTGGGCCCTTTGTGAGTCAGCTAAGGGTGAACAGGGGACTATGAGGGGGGTCTGCTGTCAGAGTAAGCAGCCCCTGGGAGCAGGGCCCACACACACGCCATGGCGAGCGTGGTGGTGAAGACAATCTGGCAGTCCAAAGAGATCCATGAGGCCGGGGATCCCCCCGCAGGGGTCGAGAGCTGCTCCCAGCTGGTCCCGGAGGCCCCTGGGGGGGTAATAAGCCCAGCCAAGGGGATCACGAAGAAAAAGAAGGCTGTGTCGTTCCACGGGTGGGTGTGTCACACACTGTCAGGGATGGTCCTAGTGCCCAGCACTGCCCCCAACAGAGCAGGAGTCCCACAGTGGGTGATGGAGGAATGGGAGGGGGAAGCAGAGGAGCAGGCAAGAGAGCAGTGGGGAAGGGGGAGGAGTAGTGTGGGAGGTAAAGTGGAAGAAAAGAGTGGAGATGGAGGGAGGGAGAGAGAAGCCAGGAGAAGGAGACAGGAACTGGAGAAAGAAGAAGAAAGCAGGCAGGTGAAGAAGGGCAAGGCAGTAGGGATGGTGGAAGAAGAAGAAAGGCAGTGAGGAAGCAGAAAAGAAAGAAAAAAGGGCCAGCAGGGATGTAGAAAGAAGACAAAAGTAGGCAGTGGGGATGGAGAAAGAAGAAAGGAGGAAGACACTAGGCAGTGTGTTGGAGAAGGAAGAAGGAAAGAGACAGCAGGGATAGAAAACAAACACACAAGCATCAGTAAAGAAAGTACAGGCTAGGAAAGAAGATGGAAATCAAGTTGGAGTCAGAGGGAGTAGGTTCTGTGGAAACGGGCCATGCCCTGGGGCTGAACCCCCACTTTCTGCTGGTTTCTCCTGCCCAGGGTGGACCCCCGCATGTCCCATGAACCTATGCACTGGTGCCTGAACCTCAAACGGTCCTCAGCCTGCACTAATGTGTCACTGCTCAACCTGGCTGCCATGGAGACCACAGACTCCTCAGGCACAGACTCTACCACAGACGACAGCATTGGCCAGCCCGCACTGCCTGGGCCCCCCGCTCCCCCTAATCCACCCTGGGCTCCAGATGACCCAGACATCAAGGAAATACTGGTGAGGGACCCCCGGCTGGGGAAGACAGGAGTCCTCACTCTGGTGGTAGGCAAATATATTGAGGATGGGGTGTGTCTTCTTGATTTGGAATGAGAAGGTTCTGGTCATCCTTCAACGCCCAGAGGAGCAGACTCCTCCCTCTACCAGTAGATAGACATTCTGGGTACATCATGCCTAGCCTAGGAGTTCATTTCATTCTGTTATTTGCACATATCCTGGCCAAGGCTGGCGTCACCTACAGGACCCCTTGGGGAGATCACAGTCTGGTGGGGGGCAGCAGACACAACCTGAGATGATATATGTCATAATGAAGGTGGCACTGGGGGTGGGGAGGGTCCTACAGATGGGCCCCTCAAGCCAGGCTGAGGGTATCAGGAAAGGCTTCCTGGAGGAGGCTGTGTCAGAACTGGGCCTTGAAGGATGAGTAGGAGCTCTCTAGGTAAAACTGGGAGGTCAGCAAGAGTTAGAGGAATTCAGGGGATTCCCTGATAGAGCATGAAGCTCTTCAGCTTGGTGCCAGAGCTTCTCCTCTCTTCTCTTCCCCCACCCAATGCATCCCCTGGGCCAGACCCTGAACTGAACCTGGAGTCAGACCTCAACCCTGAGACTCACACTTACAGTAGCCATGGTGATAACAATGCTCGCTAGCATCTACCAAGTAGATTCCTCATTCCTGGAAGTCTCAGTTGCCTCACCTGTAAATTGGAAACTTGTATATTTGATCTTCCAATAAGTATTTTCTAAACTCTTACAAAGTGCCAGGAACAGGAAACATGGCAAAGAGCAAAAGGGAATTCTGTGAGTTGAAATTGACTCAGTGGCAGTAGGTTTACGGAGCAGCTGGTAGTTTTGAACTGTAGACCTTGAGGTTCACAGTCCAATTCTTAACCACTATGCTACCAGAGCTCCTTTAGCAGATTGAGTGGACTCTGCTCTGGCCTGGCTTCCCCTTGAAACCTAGGAGACCCCATGAGTTAACTTTGGGGAAGACTAAATCTCCGGATCGCTAAAGCCCCAGGCTATTGAGAAATCTGGGGCAAAGGTAACTTAACTGAAGGAATCCATTTTTGTCACCTCGAGGAATGAAACCCCATCACATCATCCTCTTCTAATCGCTGAAGCCAAGTATTCCTGGAAATGACCCTTTGAAAACTGTACTGAGTCCTGAAGACTTCTACTCAGAAACCTGGGGGTAAGGAGAGGCAATGGTGAGAAGAGCCTCCCCTTCCAAGTTCAATGGATTCTCTATTTGGGTATTCAAGAATGGGGCGTGGGAAAGTTCATTCTTAATTCCAAGGAAGACTGGTCATTCATTGCTCAGCTGTTCTGGTGGCTGGAAGAGTTCATCTTTAAAATCAGAAGGGAGCGCTGTCTGCCTCTAAGAAACGTTGGATCAGCCCCATTTGGAGTTGAATAGGCCCTTCCTTATTGATGGAAAGAGATATTAAGTCAGCCAAGACCCTTCTCTCTAAGAATTGATATTCTTGACAATTGGCCATCCAACCCAAGGCAACCCCTGGCACAATGGAACAAACCACTGCCAGGTCTGTGCCATCCCCATGATGGGTTTTGGATCAGATAGTTTTGAGCCATAAGGTTTTCACTGGCTGATTTTCAGAATTAGATTGCCAGACCTTTCTTCCTAGTTACTCATGGTCTGGAAACTCCATAGCAACCCTGTATAGGGTTTCCAAGGAGCGATTGGTGAGCTTGAACTTCTGACCTTGCAGATCAAACTGATTTCTTCGTGGTCTAGCACATTAAAACCCACAGCACCACACCAGGACTCCATATGTATTATAAGTGGTGTGTGAGGGAGAAACATTGAGGGTCTAAAGCACAAAGAGACGTTTTTCCTAAGTAAGGCGTCCTAGTGTGGTGCTACAGGATAAGGCACTGGGCCATGAGGTCAGTTTGAACTGTAAGGTTCACTCAACATCCGCTCCTCCAGA